TCGGGTGCAGCCCTGCGCGAAGCCACCCTAAAACAACGAGTGGCTCTGCGCCACAACGACAAGGTCATCAAGCGCGAGTTCGAAATCGGCAGTCTAGTATTACGCAGGAACCAGAAAGATTCCCGCGAAGGGAAGTTGTCCGCGAACTGGGAAGGACCTTACCGCGTCCACGGCACCACGGGTACCGGGGCGTACTACCTCGAGCAATTAGACGGAGAGCCATTACCACGACCCTGGAACGCTGCTAAGCTAAAGCAGTACTACAGTTAGAAACTACCAACACCTAGGACCCTCGACCAACAGCACCCGCGCTCGGTCAACGAGGAAAAATGTCCAACTTCGTATAAGGCTAAGGTACAAGCCCGACATATGGCCAAAATGGCACAGCATCGCGCGGTAAACGATGACGATCGATAGTGCCCAACGTGGACAGCTATACCGAGCCCCACCGTCGTTGTACCCATAAGGCAGAACACCCAACTCGCGATGGGCAGTTCACACCAAGGGTGAATAGTCCCTAACGGGCTTCGCGCCCGACTGAGCAACCTCGCTCCAAATTCCCGACAAATCGTCAAGAATGACGGGCCATCTAAAAGGGCAAAAGGAAGTCTCTCCCCTCGAGCACAACACTTAGGTGACTCTGGCCAGCGAAAGAAGGCCGGGCACATGGACAACCGGAAGGCGGTCAGAGTCACTCGCCAAAATCACAACCCCATACGGGCACGCCTCGGGCCCATGACTTAGGCTAAAAATTCATGCAAATATATGATTTCAAACAAGGGCAAAACATCCAAAATGTAAAACAACATTGATATAAATGCCCGAAGGCGATAAAACAATTACAAACCGACCAAGAAGGCCGGCGATGTTCATAACGTACAACAAACGGGCACGCAGGACCAAAGAATACAAATATCAAGGGCACGCGGGCCCGCTATCCTAGTCAGGTCTCCCCGGAACCATCATTGTCGGCGCTTGGAGAGTCGGGCGGAGGAACGATCACGCCATCCATGATCTGATGTGTGTGACCGATACCCTCAGTAACCAGACCAGGGTTTAGCAAGGAGAGTTGACCGACCGCGGAGTTGAACCCATCCTCCAGGGCACCGACACAATCTGCCTCGAGAAGCCGGATATGGGCGACCAGCTCCAACCGACTCTTTAAAGCCACTATGTCCTCGAGCTCGTCCTCGGCAGGTTGCATGGCAGCATTCATTTCCTCGATCTGCTGGGCCAAGCGTTCGACTTCGGCCCCCAGACGATCCCTGTCTGCCCGAAGAAGCTCCCCCTCCTCGGCCAACTTCCCCGACTTCTCCTTCTCCAGGGTCAACATCTCCCTCTCAGCATCGAGCATCGCCGTCTGCTCGCGGAACATCTCCTCGGAGCGTTCCAGAGCGATCTTCAACTTCCGCGAGCTCGAGGTCAGGGCCGCCTTCTCCTGCTCGAGTTCTTCGACACGGGCAGGATCCCCTCCTTCCTCGGATAGCGCCAAAGCCATCTCGGCCATTTTTACCAGCCCGTCCATGCTGGCGGCCAGATGCGTCTTCCGCTCCTCTTTACTCATCTTTTTTATAGCTGCAGCTTCGTCGGCAACCACTGTCAGAGGGAATCTCTCGAAAAAGCCCGCCTCTTCGAAGCAAGGGGGGAAGGCGAAAGATTTAACGGCACTGGCGTCCTCGCCAACAGTCGGACCACTTTCCACACGGGTCCTCTTCCTCTGTATCAGGACGGCACTTGGGTCGACCTCCTCAACTTCTGGGGTCCCATTCGACGCGGCCCCCGAGCTTGACGGCGAGTCCACCCTCACCGGCTGAGGAGCACTTGGACTATGTGGTGGGCCCATCCTTGTCGCCTGTGGGGCCTTCACGACCCTCCTGCCTCGCCTCTGGTCGCAAGATAATTTCAAAAGCCTTTCATGACGACCAGCCATCGAACCTGCACAAAATAAAAGTTAGGTCAGTATCGAGCAAACTCATAGACAAAGGACGGGCAAAGAAATTCAAGCAATAAACAACCTAACAGACGGGCAGCCTACCTGTACGTCGGGCACTCCACGAGCGCCTTGGTATCAATCGGACGAGACTCGAACGTTGGGTAACCATCTTTGTCCAAGATATCATCCCCTTCCCGCGTAATCCACCGGGCAGGATGGAAGCTATCGACAAACCGGCAAAGTGCGGCGTACGCCTCCTCGTCTTCCGAGCACATGTCCCCGGCAGCAGTATGGTAATAACCAGTCCCATGCTCGTAATGCCGGAACATCCAGTGCACAGGGACTTTAGCCGTACGGGCCAACACAGGGTTTCCATTGTCGCCCAAAACCGCCTCCCTGTCCTCGTCGCTCAGCGGCTCCTCCTCCTCGAAAAGAGAACTTAAAGCAGAGGTGGTAACTGGCCGCACCACGTACCACTTGTCTTTAAAACCCCTCACAGAGTCCATATACATTTTGAAGAGTCTCCTCGACTGCTTCAGGGAGACCCAGCTATGTTTCCCTCATCGGGACTGGCGCTGCAAGTGAAAAATCCGGAAGAAGAGCGGTATGGTCGCCCCGATCCTCAGGTAGCGACACGTCAACTCAAACGCCCGGATGAAGGCGAGCGAGTTTGGATGTAGCTGGGACGGGGCCAGCTCCAGGTGAGTGAAGACCCCGACCTGGAAATCAGTGAAGGGCAGCCGCAACCCTAGATCTTTGAACGCGATCCCATACATCGCGAAGCTATATTCCGGATAAACCGAGCAGATCCTTGCACGGGATGACAGGCGCATGACTACGAAGTTCTTTTGGAAGTCGGGCTGACCCTGGCCCGCTTCAATGACAGCATACGGATCCCGGTCGCCCCGACTGTAGACCGACGCGATCCCTCGGGGCTCGACGCCCACCCAATCCAACAAAGGGTCGGTCACAGTATCAATCAGATTGACCGACTCGTCGACGCTTTGTTCTTCACGATCGTGACGCCCGGAGGAGCTCGGCTCGTCCGCCATGGTTACCTGCAGACCACGGAAAACCAGTCAATTGGGCACGAAGCCATACGCTCGACAAATCACGTCGTCCCGTTCACGACCACATAGCCCGTTTCCACGAATGGTTTCCTCCCCGACATCCTGACACTCGGTGTTCTTCCTCAAACCAACTACGCGGCCACTCTCCAACATATCGACCCAAGGTATGAACGTGGCGAGCCACACCATGAGGCCTACGGCCGAGACCATGAACATACCGGGCGCGACCATGAGTCAGGCGCCCTGGATCATGAAGATCCCGGGCAGCGCTGAAGTTTATCACCTAAAACTATGAATACGCCGGCTACAAACATGCGTTTGCCGGTCCTAGGCATGAACATGTCGGGCTAAGTATGAGTTTACCGGGCTAATCCCACGCGCACGGCCCTAAAACATCTACAAACGCCAGAAATCATGCATTCTAACAAAAAAATGAAGAAGATAGACCACTTACTTGAATCAAAGAGTAGGATTTGGCTACGGAGTAGAAGAATCTGTGACAAAAAGTCGCAACTGGAAAAAATCTGGAAGAGCAGCAGCAGAGAGAGCGCAGAGAACAGAAACGTGTTATGGGGCCCAAGGTTCCTATTTATAGTGATGACGTGGAATACCAAACGTCACCTCGGGCAACCACGGACTCCCTCTCCTCGACGCGCTGCTCCCAACGCAATGATGACCCTATCCCCATAGGGTGGCGGCACAATTCCCAAAAGATACCTCGTATGCTCGACAGACGCGCCCGGTAAGGATCCTCCAAGCATCCACCGCGGAAGATGTCCCCAAGCACGACACGAGGAGGCCCTCGAGGCCCCACACCTCTGTCCCGGGCACGAGACCTCGATGAGGAAGCGACCTGAGTTCAAGTCATGGCTCCTCACAAAGGAACCACGACTTGGGGGGCTCCTGTTCTGGACTGGGCCCGACTGGCCCAAAAGCATTGCAAAGGCCCAGTCCAAATGGACTTACAAGGGCCACGCCGACCAAAGAGTGAGACCGTGCCCGACGCGCAGTCGCTGACTCGACGATACGCCTCCAGCTCGACATGAGGTGGTCCAGCACCGCAGTATGAGGTCCATCTCGACGCTTACCTCGAGCACCCCAGCTAGGGCAGACTCAGTCCATTGTTCCCCCAACGATACTCTGAAAAGACCGCGTCTCCGTCCGCCCGCTCTTCACGCAGAACATCCAGGAAGGGGACCACGTGCGGGTCCCCACTACGCACGTAGAACCTGGCAGTTCCTCCATTGGGCCAAACCTGCCCGGCCCAGTGAAGGAACCTTGGCCCAGCGCTGAGGGCTATAAATACCCTCTGCTTCCAGAGGGTCAGGTATTCATCATTCTAACCTTACACTTGCTATTATCTGCTCGTACTCCTACTTACTTCAGCATCGGAGTGCCTTGCAGGTATCCCCCCCCCCCCCCACCTCGTTCAAAAAAGCTTTCTGCTCGGAGCCAGCCGTGACGGTTCATTTCTGATCAGGTCAGATCAAAAAATAAAGATAAAAAATATACTTTACTTTCCATGTGAACTGACTTTTATATCTAAAATCAAATAGAGTGGATTTGAGGTGAATTAGACCTTAAATACTTGACTTTAGCTCCCAGGGTCTTACCCAACCTAGATCATTATTTATAGTGTTTTACAAATATGTATGTTATGTGTATAAAATTACATTATTAATTTAACATAAATTTACAAACTGAATATACTTTTCGATTGAAAAATGTTACCCAAACAAAACACTAACTTAAAAATAGAGTTTAATTTCACAAGCAATCACTCATCATGAACTTTTGTTGATACTACTTGATTTCCCCCATGACCGAGCAATACCAAAGCTAGCCGAAGAAACACACTAATTCTAATTTTTTACGTTCGACACTTTCATAATCTGTATTCAAATGACATAAACAACTTTCCAAAAGACTTTGTTTCTTTATTATCAATATTTTCTCATCTAGATTTACCATATATTTTCTCTTTTCTCTTGCCACTTTCAAAATACAAATTTTCTGTATTCATCAGCCTCTTGTGCCATTTCTTCAAGGCTCCTATCTTTCCTCTCTACATCCACCTCTAGCTTCTTTTTCAATTCTTTCTCCTTTTCATTTATCTGCATCATTCACACACAAACATTAACATCAAATGAACCTCACAAAACAACCAAATCATTAAAAACACATAAAACTAATTTCAATCCTACCTCATCATATATATCATCATTGTTTTCATAATCACCATTTTTCCTAGGAAGAATATGAATATGAACATGAGGAACTGATTGTCCAGCATGAGGTCCATCCTATGGTTTGAAAATTTGCATTACTCATAAAATAAACACACACATGTCATAAACTCTTGTCTAAACTATCTTACTTGGATACAAAATGTAAGTGATGATGCATTATGATAACTCTCCAGCTGTCTACCAAGTTTATGTGCTATACGCCATAACTCGATATTCTCATCATCAGTAAGATCAGCAACGCGTTTCACTTCGCGCTTTGGACAGATAAGAACATGTAGCTTCTATTAACTCAAACAAATTCAGCTCTTCACAGAAGACAATTATTAAGTAATAGTTTATGCAAAATATTAAAAGACGAACAAGACATGCTACCGTACATAACCCAAAATTTGTCATGGTTAAACCATATCTAAATAGAACCTCATAAAATATTTATCACAGTTAAACTGTAGTTAAATATGACTCATATATATTAAAAAGGATATGACCTGCAAAAGAAGATGGTTTATAAAGATCTGAAATCATGAAAGAAGAATGGAGCAGTAAGATAATAGAGAGGTGATGGATCAAGATAAATATACCAGTGACAGCAGGGCGAAGGTTGACAAAGGCAAAAGAAAGATCAGTTGTATGAAATACTGAACTATGGTGGATCTTGTAAGGTCCAAAATCATAAGATTCAACAGCCATATCTGTGTTTACCATAAAACTAAAATTATTTTTCAACATGGATGAATAAAATAGGATTTGATGATTACAAATTTGATGTTAGTTATTATTTTACCTTGATGGAGTGAGGAATAGAGGAGATATACAAGAACAAGCAGTGGCTAGATGATTTAAAATTTGCATTTTGCTTTGGAACTTATAGAAATTCTATGTTCTTCTTGTTTGACCATACTATTGAAAAAAAATAATTTCTTGCTACTTACTCCATTGTCCTGTCTTGTGAATGAGATGATTAAAAATTAAGAAGTCTTGTTAATAGTATTTAGAAACAATGAATGATAAATTACAGGAGTTGTTAATTAGGTCAACATTCAACAATTGTTTATATAGTCTTATTATATTGGAGGTTGTTTACCTTCCACTTAAAATAACTTTGAAAGTCTGAAAACTAACCACATAGTAATATTATGAAATTGGGAGATTTTAACTTCTTGTAATGGAAGACACTTGACTTTTACTAGGCAGAGGTGAAGGGCTAAAATAAAAAAATTAAAAAAATATATAAAATATTGAGAGATATGTCTTTTGTGAAATTGAAATGATCGATTAGATCAAGAGATTTGATGGATGAGGATAAAAGAATAGTATACACAATAATTTGTTTATTTTATTTAATCAAATGATTTATTAAGAGTGAGAGAATAGCTTTTCTATTCACTATATTTTCGATAGTTGTTACAAAATATTATAAATGAGTTAAAAAATATAGTTACACAAATTCCCATAAACTAATCTTATTTTCTATTCAAGTGTTTTTTAATCTCTCCAACTCTTTATATATGAATCACACAAATCCAATGTCTTTAAAAGTGTTTTTCAATCACTTTAGATATCTCCAAGATTTTTCAAAATTCTAAAAACACACTCTTAAGAATTTACCCTTATCTCTCTAAGCTTACCACTAAGATTCACAAATCATTTTCCCTGTCTTCAATTCTAAAATTCTAATGGTTGTGGTAACAAGAATGCAAAAAATACATATGTATAACTGCTGAAACTCAATGGACCCATAACAAGACCCAAATTCAAAACCTAGACATGATGATTGGAAAACTCAAACCGTCGTCGCCGCCCATATTTGTTGGACCGCCTACATGTGGTTCTGACATCATATGATGATCTCTTGGATGCTTTTACAAATTTTTGAGTTTTACAATCTCAAAATATGTTTTCTTTCTCTTCATCATATAAGAGTTTAAAACATATTTCAACAATTTCCACCTTAACTTAAATTATGGTGATGTCAATTTACCCATCAACCACCTTACTGCTCTCTGCCAATTCAACATCTGTTGAAGAGTTTTTTTATCAAGTTCAAGTCTCGCTTAAACCTTAATCTTACCACTAGCAACCATTTGCTCCCACTCACCTTTTTCTGCTTCACTAGTCTAACAAGTCCACAAGTATGGTTCTTCAATCATCTTTGATTCCATCTGCTTTCAAATATCTCCTTGAAGATCTCTGTTTCCGAGTTTTGCAACTCTTCGGCCACATTCAAAGCATAACACCCAAGACTTGCATAACTGTCTCTTTGAGATGGCACAATCTCCTTATTTACCTTATCACGAGTCAACTGATAATCAAAGGTCTATGTGATTGTTCTTTCATTACTACTAGTATCTATAGTGGGAACACCTATCTCAAATCGAGTCTTCTTTGCCCTATTTTCCAAAAGTTTCATTTGTATGTCTTTACTTTTCTTCTCTTTTGGGACTCACTAAAAGTAATACATTAGTGATTGATGAACTTCGTTCCTCCGAGTTTGATAGAATTGAAAAAAGATCATAAAAATTATTCAAAATGAAATAATAAAGGGAAGATACTGTTTATAGTGCAAGTAGAAAAGACTATAAATACTCCATCCATTTCAATTGACTGTCGTTTTAGCAAATACAATTTGTTTTAAAATGACTGTCATTTTCACTTTTCAATATAGTAATGATTATTATTTTTCTAATTGTGTCCTTTACTTTTTACTCTGGACACTACTTCCAATACATAATAAGGTTAATTTTGTAAAAGTATGATGTCTTATGACAATATTATTGTATTCTTAATTTGTGTGCTAAAACCTTAAACGACAGTCATTTTAAGACAAAGGGAGTATATTTTAACGACATGATTCACTTTCACACTCAAAGAAATTGTTAAGTTCAATATGTGTGTTATTATATCTTTCGGGCTAGGTTGACGCCGAATTGCTAGGGGTCTTAGAGAGAATAGACTCAAAGAAATGAAAGACTCAAATGCTCACTAGAAAATTTGAACCATATCCTAGGAACTCACGATGTTTGAACATACGTCCTATGAGACAATTTTCTTCGTGAGAAGGTTATAGGGACTCAAACTTTAAAACTCTATTATAAAAGTCTAATGAAAGTCTCATATTTAGGTACACTATTATAACTTCAAAATTTTGTCACTTATGACTGTCAATGATTAAGGTGTGAGAGTGAAGTAGTGAGAAACAGAAGAAGGGGGGGTTGAATTGTAAAACTGAAAATCAATGCAATGAACAAGATATTTTTATCCTGGTTCGTTTGATCTCAAACTACTCCAGTCCACCCGTCAAGGTGATTTCGCCTCTCTCCAACGAGGTCTTAATCCACTATATTCAACTGAATATTACAGACTGCTTTAACAACTGCTAAAGTCTTCTTGATGCAAACCACAACCCGGTTTGTCAAGGGAACACTTTCTTACAAAGAAGATAAATCTAAGTGTGTGAATGTTTTCTACAAAACTGTATCACAACTGTGATGTATACACAACTTAAAGCTTAGAAACTAGATTGCTAAACAATGATTGAATATGAGAATGTGTAGTGTTTAGCAAACTGAGAGAAGGAAGATTTTGAAGAGCATTTATGCGTGTAAAGATTTTGGAGAGCATTAGCCAATTCAATCTTCAAAGTCTTGTTTATATAGCACTAAGATGTTGAACGTTGGAGCAATATTCTTGATTCAATGCTAATAACAAACTTTCCTTATCGAGCAGATCTTGTCTGGAATGAGGCCGTTGGTATTAATTTGCTTTCAATGCACAGTACCGTTGCTTACTTAATGCAAGTTCTGGCTTGGCTCATTCTGACTCTGCTTAGCTGCTGATGAACTGTTGTGTTTCTTTATCAGAGTGTTGAGCGCAGTTTTGTTCATCAGGCTTCAGCATATACGTGAGTTAATCTTCTGATTCTGACATTTTGATATGGCAACTTCTGATGCTGATGTCAGGAACCAAATTTCTGATGCTGATTAGGTGTGATCTTGCTTATATCAATCAGAGTATCTGCAAATCAGAACGTAATAATTTAGGCAGCAGATAGTTCATACATGAATCATATAAATAATATATCTTTTCACTTTGTTATCATCAAAACTTAAACATAGGGTAGTAGATTCAAACTTTGTTCTAACAATCTACCCCTTTTTGATGATGACAAAAACTAGATATTTTTAAATGAAAATAACGTGAAAAGGTATCAGAGAGATGCATCAGAGTAAGAGGTTATCAAAGATAAGGGGTAAAAAGATATCAGAGTTGAGAGATACTCCCCCTGAGTTTATTGCTTCCCTTTGATTACAAGCGTTCTTCAGGATCAGATCTTTTTGCCTTTCTTTGAACATCAGAGTATCAGAGTCTTTGACTATCGGAAGCTTTAGATCAGCATATCAGAGCAGAGCTTCAGATCAGCGTATCAGAGCTTTTCTTGTCAGAGCTTTGCTTTGGATCAGAGTATCAGAGCGGATCAGAGCTTCATAGCTTTTAGTCTTCAGAGTGTCCAGGAGCTTCCTTGTACCTGTAGACTTTAAGCAAAACAAAGAAACATTTTCAAGTATAATAGAGTTAGAATGTTTGAGAATTTCTGTCTTAGTTAACCGTTATTGTTTAAAATATCATTCTTGTTTAAGCAAAACAAAGAAACATTTTCAAGTATAATAGAGTTAGAATGTTTGAGAACTTATGTCTTAGTTAACCGTTATTGTTTAAAATATCATTCTTGTTCTCCCCCTTTTTGTCAGCAATCAAAAAGTGTAGGTGAGTGCTAAAACAATTAAGATCAGAAAAACTTGTCATATTAAAAGGTTCAGAATCAAACAGAACATATTCAAATAGTACATCAGAAAATCAAAGAAAACATTAAAAAGACATGAATGAGAGGTTAATGTGTTTAAATAGAGTTTCAGAATATTTTGAAAAAATAAACGTTTTTAAGAAAGAGAAAAATCATGATTGCATTTTAAAAGCATGATTACTTTTATTAAATGCTTGCTGATTTTGGGGGATTTGAGAAAGATACTTAAAAACGGTTACCAGACATGTGTCTCAATGCACCCAATCAGCGCTTTGCCTTCTCAGAAGCGTGCACGCGTTCTGCTTCAGAGATTTGCTGATGATTGGATGACACTTGTTTGATGTAGTGATCAGCACGTCTGTCTTTGAGCTTAGACTCTCAGATCTTTAGACTTGCATCTGATACAATCTGCATGTTCTATCTTTTCTCAAAAATCTAGAAGTCTTCAAGCTGACTTTTCATCCAGAGCATTTGTGTGCTACATCCTGCTGCTGCTATGTACTCAGCTTCTGTTGTTGATAGCGCAATTGTTGATTGCCTTTTGCTGGACCAAGAGATCAGATTTTCTTCCAGAAACTGGCAGCTTCCAGAAGTACTTTTACGCTCCACTCTGTCTCCAGCAAAATCAGCATCGCAGTAGCCTACTAAGTTGTAATCACTAGATTTTCTATAAAACAAACCCAGATTAGTAGTACCTTTCAGATACTTGAAAATTCGCTTAACAGCTGTTAAGTGAGATTCTCTAGGATCTGATTGGAATCTAGCACAGATACAAACACTGAATAATATGTCAGGTCTTGAAGCAGTCAGATAGAGGAGAGAACCAATCATACCTCTGTAGACTTTCTGTTCTACATTTTTGCTTACCTCTTCTCTTTCCAGAATACAC